AGTCACTTGATACTCCTTGTTCTTGTGCTCTCTATCTGTAGACTTCCACCCGAGCTATCGCAAAGATCGGCATTGACTAGTTCGGCATGGGATTAGCTATTTGTTCGTGCAGCAGCCCTCCTTTATTTATCCTGTCAATACCCCCCCCCCCCCGATCCCCCCCCCACAACATATTTTGGCTCCCGTTTGTGTTAAAACAAAAGCCTTCACACATTATTGGCTCTCAAAGAATATGAGGTGTTAAACGCGCATGTTTCAACACACAACTCATTCGATGGAGTGGTCAACAGCAACACCGACCGCCTTTACTTCAAATGCCATTTACCTATACCCATTTTAGGTTCAGTCGATCTAGCACACCTATGTCTTTTTATTATTCGTTCTTTCTTCTGTTCTTCCTAATTTCTTCCTTCCTTCCTCATTTTTCGTTCGTTCTTTCTTTCTTTCTCTCTTTCTTCTTTTTCTTTCTTTCTCTCTTTCTTTCTTGCTTTTTCTTTTTCTTTTTCTTTTCTTTTTCTTCCTTTCTTCCTCTTCTTTCTTCTTTTTCCTTCCTCATTTGTCTCCCTTTTCTTTTCTTTTCTTTTCTTTCTTTCTTTCTTTCTTTCTTTTTTCTTTCTTTCTTTTCTTCTTTCTTTTCTTTTTCTTTCTTTCTTTTCTTTCTTTCTTTTTTCTTTCTTTCTTTTTTTTTCTTTTCTTTCTTTCTTTCTTTCTTTTTCTTTCTTTCTTTCTTCTTTCTTTCTTTCTCTTTTTTCTTTCTTTGCTTTCTTTCTTTCTTTCTTTCTTCTCTTTCTTTCTCTTTCTTCTTTCTTTTTCTTTCTTTTTTCTTTCTTTTTTCTCTTCTTTTTTGTCTTTCTTTCTTTCTTTTCTTTTCTTTCTTTCTTTCTTTCTTTCTTTCTTTCTTTCTTTCTTTCTTTTCTTTCTTTCTTTCTTTCTTTTCTTTGTCTTTCTTTTCTTTCTTTCTTTCTTTCTTTTCTTTCTTTCTTTCTTTCTTTTCTTTCTTTCTTTCTTTCTTTCTTTCTTCTTTCTTTTTCTTTCTTCTTCTTCTTTCTTTTCTTTCTTTCTTTCTTTTCTTTCTTTCTCTTTTCTTTTTTTCCTTTTCTCTTTCTTTCTTTCTTTCTTTCTTTCTTTTCTTTCGTCCTTTCCTAATTCTTTCCTTCCTTCCTAATTTTTCGTTTTTCGTTCTTTCTTTTCTTTCTTTCTCTCTTTCCTCTTTTTCTTTCTTTCTATCTTTCTTTCTTGCTTTTTTCTTTTTCTTCTTCTTTTCTTTTTCTTCCTTTCTTCCTCTTCTTTCTTTCTTTTTCCTTCCTCATTTGTCTCCCTTTGTCTCTCTCTTTCTTTCGTTCGTTCTTTCTTTCTTTCTTTCTTTCTTTCTTTTCTTTCTTCTTTCTTTTTCTTTCTTTTTTTTTCTTTCTTTCTTTCTTTTTTCTTTCTTTCTTTCTTTCTTTCTTTTCTTTCTTTCCTTTCTTTCTTTCTTTCTTTTCTTTTCTTTCTCTTCTTTTTTCTTTTCTTTCTTTCTTTCTTTCTTTCTTTCTTTCTTTCTTTTTCTTCTTTCTTTCTTTCTTTCTTTCTTCTTTCTTTTCTTTCTTTCTTTCTTTCTTCTTTCTTTCTTTCTTTCTTTCTTTTTCTTTCTTTTCTTTCTTTCTTTTCCCTTTCTTTACTTTCTTTCTTTCTTCTTTCTTTCTTTCTTCTTTCTTTCTTTCTTCTTCTTTCTTTCTTTTTTCTTTCTCTTTCTTTCTTTCTTTCTTTTCTTTCTTTCTTTCTTTCTTTCTTTATTTACTTATTCATTCTTTTTTATTTTTCTTCTTCTTCCTCCTCCTCGTCCTTGCTTGCTTCCTTTCTTCTTCCTCTTCTTCTTCTTCTTCTTCTTCTTCTTCTTCCTCTTCTTCTTCTTCTTCTTCTTCTTCTTCTTCTTCCTCTTCTTCTTCTTCTTCTTCTTCTTCTTCTTCTTCTTCTTCTTCTTCTTCTTCTTCTTCTTCTTCTTCTTCTTCTTCTTCTTCTTCTTCTTCTTCTTCTTCTTCTTCTTCTTCTTCTTCTTCTTCTTCTTCTTCTTCTTCTTCTTCTTCTTCTTCTTCCGCGTGTGTGTGCTGTATGACTGAGCATAATCCGGCGGGTCGAGGCGGGCTCCAATGGATTGAGTCATTGCAAAACTCATCCAAGCATGAGTGGCACACCGGACGCACACGAAGTCTTGTCAACCAGCATAGAAAGACTAATTAGGAAAAGGATGGACAAAAAGGCGACTGCGGGAGATCCCCTCCGTGACCCCACTCTCATTCCCTGTCCTCACTGTCCAAGAACTTGTCGGACCCACATAGGCCTCATCAGTCATCTTCGTATTCCTACTTGATGAAAAAGAGTGGTCATCATCCGATTGATGGACAAAACACACACAGACACACATACACACACACACGCACGCACACGCGCACACGCACGCACACACGTAAAATTGCACGTTGAAACAGCCAGCACAAAGAAAATGACACTTTAAAAAACCATAATAGAAAACTTCATTTTGACAGACCAGCACGGAGAATGGATTTCAACATAACAAGTAATTGAAATGACAATTTGAAACAACAGCACACGAACTGGTACTATCAAACAGTCAACTCATGAGACCACACTAGCTTATTTGTTATGTTAGTCTGGTTAAAGGGAAAAGAAAGAAAAGAGAAAGTGCACGTTTTTAATGTTTAATATCACAATGTTTGTGGGTATACAATATTTTTTACTGTTCCATTCCATAGGATCTGGCCGGCGCTCAACACTCAGAGGAAAGGCGAAGGGGATATGCAATCAGACGGAAACTAGTACCATCGGAGTTGGAACTCTTCGTTTGCTGCTGAAGATGGGGACGTAGCGCTTATCAGAGTGTCCCGAGTGCTGTGATGTTGATTCTTTTCAACATTCTACATTATCAACAACATTCTACTCTTCCATTGACATCAATATAATAGTAGGTTTATAAAAAGACGCACTATTCGAATACAGTGCAGTGTCAAATTGTCATAACTATCGCTGAAGAACTTACAGAGATTTAGGATTTTGAACAAACGAACAATTACATTTTTATTTATATAGATGACTAGCACTGGTGACAGCTTAATAACCAAATGGGAACCTAACGTATTTAATTGTTTCTTTATTTTACTTTTGATGCCGTTTACGACATAGGGTACCGAAACGTATTCTAAAAAGAGCTGTGCAAGCCATAAATGTTGGGAACAGACAAACTGTTATGTCGGGACTTTTATCCCTACAAAATACATGTTCACATAGGCACTGGAACCACGTGGTTACTACATATCTCTACCTCCGCAGTTATGCGGAAGTCGCTGATCAGATATCGTACAAATCAGAACCTCGTATTAATGATACAAACTTGTCATGTTTAATTTCTTAAGTGCACCGCTACCAGTGTGTTTGGGTCCATAATTAGTCTGTAGCCATTGTTGACTACTATTTTACTGACAACTGTGAGGCCTCCTCACTGACTGAAGTAGCTTGATATTACTGAGTCAGAAGGGGTACAAAACCACCGACAACAGGAGATGACATAATGTGTTCATGTATTGTCAGATGTCAGGTATACCTGCAAATATGAAAAGACTACAAAGAATAATTACAATTTTAAGAACCGATTAGTGAGCGAGCGATCGACTAGACTGACTGAGATTTGAAGTCGCTGTCTCGGAAATAATGTATAATTATTTTGGATTGAAAGGACTGTCACCAAAAAATATAAACAACCCCCTTTGTCAAAATGGATTTATAATAGTTAAACACTTTAGCCGGTGAGAATGTGGTGGGGTAACTTTCATCCTGTGTAGAAATCTGAAGTCGTTTTTAATATTATGTCCTATTCAAATTATAAAAGAAAAATGCGATTACGATTCATTTTCAACATGCTATTAGATTTGTGCAAAGGATATAAACTCCGGCCACATACAAGTCGATAATATGAACATCAAACGAACGGAAACATATAAGTACTTGGGTGCAAACTTCTACTGCTCCAGCATGCTGAAAGAAGAAATACAATCTAGATTACAGTCTGATAATACAGTATACTATGCCCTTTAACATTTGCTAAAGTCAAAGTCTCTTTCTCGCAACACCAAGATCAAAATATATAAAACGTCGAGAAGACCAGTCGTTTTATATAGCTCTGAAACTTGGAGCACAACTAAAGTAGGTAGGTAATTGTACCCCACCAGGACACTCATACAAGCGACAAACACCCGTGACACTAAGTGCCACCACACGGATGAGAATCACCCCTGGAGAGGTCACAGAAACCCATTTAAGCCTTTAGGCCATATCTATGGCTAGCCCATTTCTATGCCTGGCTATATTCAGGGCTACCGGCAGAAGCCAGGGTGGGGCTTCAAACGAAACAATTGCATCCTGCCAGTTAACGACTAATAATTCAGGTAGGAAGCACAACTAAAAGAGATAGAGGCTTATTTAAGGTTTTCGAAACCAGCGTATTACGACGATTCTTAGGACCTATCAAAGATGTAAACAGCGGAAAATGGAGAATGAGAAGTAACATCAAAATGTATAATCTGTCTAAATCATCATTAATTATCTGCATCATGACAGTTAATAGGTTGAAATGGCTGGGGTATATTGAGAGAATGTCAAATGACAGAGAGGTAAAAACTATAGACACGATGGAGACGAATGGCCGTAGAGCCCGAGGCACGATGGAGAGATAACACAAAGGAGAGATAATGTTCAGAAAAACCTGCAAACACTTGGTGTTACCAACTGGAAGGCCTGCCAGAGAAATGAATGGAGGTGGGTGATATCTGCAGCAATGAACCTCAAGGGCTCGGAATGCCGAGGAGGAAGAAGAAGATAATATTTTTGCAGATTATTTCAGCACAAGGAAGCTTAACCAAAAGTTGCAAGGGTGTTTAAACTTTAGTACTAGTGCGATTTCTCGGCTTGGGTAACGGTTTTGGTGGACGTATATTGTCGACCGTGTGTGGCAAAGAAAGCCCAGTGTTGTTTGTTGATGATTTTGCGTCGTCAGGTAAAGTTTCTACATGTTCAGAATAATCTGTTGCGTTCAGTGTGAGCTGTTCGTTTATGATCTGTGGCAATGTTTGGTAGCAATGGTCGCTTTCAAGAAGCAAAGGTTTATTTAGTGTTCGCGGCTTTGGTTTTAGTGTCTGTAGTTCCAATATTTTGGAAGAAACTGAATGCTGAAAATTATAAGATGGATGTATGGTGCTTTCTTGTTTTTCTCTCCTAATTTGGTTTTCTATGAAGTAAGGTAAGTCTTTACAATCATATGCAAGCGTAACTGGAGAAAAACTGTTTGCACAATTTCTCCTTTCATTCAAATCCCAAAGTTCACTTTGTGATTTTGATCGTGTCAGAGATAAATTGGAATCAAAACGTCGATCCTCTAAGCACATAACGGCATTACGAGTCTTTTCGGCGGGAGTTACTTTACAGTCCACACCATCATGAACGAGGTTTGTCGTGTTGCCTTTTGGTGTGTCATTTTTGAATCTCATACTAAATCGATTTCCCATACTGTTTCCAAAATGGTTTGCCCATGTTTTCACCCTCATTAATGGTTTTTGTATCTCGCTGGTATGTTTTCTGTTGTGATCCTCGCCATTTTCAGTGAATGATTTAGCTTTAGAATGTGCTGCTTGTGAGATGTCAGAAAGACAAAGAGTTCCAATGTCTGACGTTGCCGATGCTGCTTGCTTCTCGGTAAACTTGGGAAACAACTTTGGTGGATTATTGGAAGGTGGAGCAGGGATATATCCTGGATCAGTGAAAGCACTGTTTGGACACAGTGGAGCAGCAGGCATTGTTGGTTTGCAAGGATTAATTTCCAGTTCTTCATAGAAGTTCTCGATTTCATCTGGGGAAAAAATGAGGCTGATGTTATGAAAATGATTACAACAAATGCAACATTGAATATCTAATGCAGGATACATTATGGCTAAATACGGCTTCTTTGCTATACCTGACTAGTATAGGAAACATGTTTTAAAATAATCAGTAGGCGCGCTGTCGCATTAGCTAGCACACATATCTGCGACTAAGTGGTCGTTTGTTTCAATTCCAGGTTAAGCGAATTTTCAAAATGACCTGGGTTGCAAGATCGACCTAGTCTTTAAATAGACCCAAGAAATGTCAGACACAACAAAACATGTGTAACAATAAATGCAACACTTTCCCCCTTTCTTCATTTGTCCTAGTGCTTGTGCCGTAAAGCGACACAAAGAGGAGACAAAAGTAGTTTCCTGTCTTTTGCTGTTAACGTAGCTTGTGTTAGTGTTCATGTTGTGCGCCTGTAGTGTCTCTTTTACTTCCTCGATCGATACTGTCTTGGTCGGCCTCTTGACATGTAGCCTGCTGTTCTCATGTAGTCCGCCCTAGTTACTAACTAATTTGTTTCCTTCTGACTAGATGACCAAATCATTTGATTCTTTGATGTTCTCTGAAATCATTTAACGGTACTGTGCCTAGCATAGTTGTTAGTTCTTCGTTGGTGACTCCGTCTCTTCTTGTTTCTCCCGCTGAATTTCTTATACATAGCAGCTCACTTGGTGTAAACAATTACAGAATGAAAACTATCCCCCCCCCCCCCACTCCCTTTTTTTTCAAAATTTGGCGAACCAGGATTAAGCAGAGTAATGCGTCTGGCCGAAATAATACTAAAACACAAAAAGTATTGCAGTGGAATGCAGTAGGGGTCATGATGAAAAAGCTGCAAAGATTCGTCTACGAACAAAAGATTGATGTTGTCTGCATTCAGGAAACCCTTTTAAATACAGGCTCTCGCTTTTCTGTCCGGCTATAAAACATACATGCTAGACAGAGATGACCACAAAGGAGGCATCATTACATTAGTTAAAAATTATATTGCAGCCACAGAAACATTCAGAAGCATCAGTGAGTTTGAACATCTAACAGTAAAACTACATATCCTTCCAGAGCCGCTGTGCGTTACTAACTGTTACTGTCCCAACAACAAGAAAATTGAACTAGAGGACATCTCAGTAGCTAATAAGAGCCACTTAATTCTCGGTGACTTTAACAGTCACTCCCCTAGTTAAGGCTATGCTTCTATTAACAGAAGAGGAGAAGAGGTAGTGAAATGAATGGTAGAAAACCTGCTGATACTAATAAATGAACCTGCGTAAAAAAACCTTTCACTATAGACGATGACGAACCCAAAGTACACCAGACCTAGCTATAGTTCTAGAAAACGACGGGCAGACAGAGAAGTGATGAAACAGCTGAGTCGAAGTGATCACAAACCAGTCATCGTCATGAAAACTGGAAGAAGACAGCCAGCTGGAACTACAAGAAAGCAGACTGGGACCTCTGCAAAAACTGAACTGAAACGAAGCTATCGGAGCTCCTCCAAACCAATGAGGTTAGAAAAAAACACCACAACTTTTGGCAGTATCATACTCGAAACAGCACAAAAATCAGTCGCTGAGGTCGAAGGCAAAACTTTGAACCCGACTGGACCCAAGAACTGCAACATCTGCACTAAAAAAAAAGCACTGAAGCAAGAGTACAAATTGAACAAGATTCCTCTGACCTCAACATCAGAAAAAAAAATCAAAAACCAAGCTATTAATAGAAGAGAACAACTTACATGAATCAGGAAAAGATAGCAGGAAAAGACTGCAGCTTTCAACATGGAGGAAGACGGGGAAAAAACTACGGCATCTCGTAAAGAGTCTAAATGAGGAGAATTATACCAGCCATGCCAACACTGTCATTGAAGTTGGTGGGAAAGCCTTCACATGTAAACAAGCAGCAAACATGCTGGCCGATAGTTTTGCAGAGGAAAGCAGAATCTCAATGTCTAGAGCCAGAGAAGAAAAAGTAGCGAGAGAGCTTAGGAAAACAGATAAAAAGCAAGAAAACAACAAAGATATAATGAATAAACTCTTTAGTCCCCAAGAACTTGAATGCGTTTTAAGAAACCTTAAGAAAAGGAAGGAGCCTGGACCTGATCGAACAACAAATGAAATGATATTAGACTTGGGACCAGCTGCTAGGCAACGACTCTTAGACCTTATCACTCAATCCTGGACACAAGGACTACTTCCAACGGAATTGAAGAAGGCAAAAATAGTCCCCATAGCCAAAAAGCAAAGCCCAAGAAAAACAAATTCAGTTACCGCCCCTTCTAAGCTACCTTGGAAAGACCATGGACATTTTAGTGAACAACAGGTTAATTAATTTCCTGGAAGAAAACAAGATATAGGATGACAGCCAATCAGGCTTTAGAAAATACAGAAGCACAGATGACCAAACCTTTTATCTCGCATAAGAAATTGAAGATGCCATCTGGAAAAAATACAAACTGCAAGCTACTTTCTTCGACCTGACCAAAGCCTTTGATAAGGTCTGGAAGAAAGAACTCTTGCTAAAACTAGCACACAGTGGGATAAAAGGGCATATGTTTGCCTGGATTATAGACGTTCTTTACCAACGCTGCTGGAAAAACACAAGAGCAAACTGGTCAGATTCAAAGAAGGTGTCCCCCAGGGAGGTGTTATATCCCCTGCTATGTTTATTTCTTTACATCAATGACCTCCCAAAACAGTTCACGAATCACATTCACAAGGCCCTACATGCTGATGATCTGGCAATATGGACCTAAGATGAACACATAGGAACAACAAAAATAAGAATGCAGGAAGCTATAAATACAGTTTACAAAATTGACAGACTCTTAGTAAGTCACAATAAACCAGACCAAACCCTTTTCAACTCTCTTCTCTCTTTCCACAAAGCTAGAACAAGTTTATCTGTAAATGAAAGGCAACATCCTTCCAAAAGAGGACAACCCCTCATACTTAGGAGTAAAATTCGACAAAAGACTAACCTGGGGTTAAATACACCCGAAGGAAAGCAACCCTGCGGCTAAGACTTATGAAGAAACTTACTGGAACAAGCTGGGTTAACGATGCCAACACTGTATGACAAGTATATACAGGATACGTACGATCAAAACTGGAGTATGGCATGGGAGCATACTCCACTGCCGCCAAGTCAAATCTATACAAACTGGACAAAATACAGAACACTGGTCTCAGAATCATCACTGGAGGTATGAGAAGCACACTAATCAATAAGCTGAAAACAACTTCTGGCTTTCAGAGCTTGAGCCATCGAAGGGAAGGAAAGGTTCTTACCCTAACATAGCAATAAAAACGAATGAACAACAACCCTATACACAGAATAACAAACAACTTCCACCAGTTATCAAAACTGTACTGTGCAAAAAACAGTGACATCCTTTCTATAGACCTTTTAACGTGGTAAATAATCCAGGCATACAGCAGAGACCTACGGCCTAACTATAGAGACACAGCAACAATTCCAGGCATAGACAGAAAGGCTGAATAGTGAGTGTGACCTAGTACTGCATGCAAAGACCCCTGAACATATCTACAACTCTTACCCAAAACACGAATAGACATACGTTTACACCGATGGATCAGTGGAACGAGCAGGAAAAAAGTTTGGGGAGGAGGTTCAATCATGATGCTGCAAGAAGAGACTATAGTAGAAACGTTATGCGCCTCCAGAAAGCTCAACAAACTTCAGAGCAGCAAGCAATTACAGATGCGACCAAAGTGCTTGAGGAAAGAAAAATACAAAAAGAAAATTGTTTTATTATGTGACTGCATGTCAGTCCTCCAGGCGACTCAGAGGAATGCAAGAGACAGCATGGAGAGGAAACTGACATGCCAGCTAAATAGACTATCAGAAAAAAAAAAATCGGCGCTCCTTTGACTAGTTCCCCAAAATCGCGGCTTTAATATGACGGCGTTCGAAAGAGAGCTAAATTGGCCAATTTCTTGCCATTAAATATCCAAAAATATCCGAATGCGGGTCAGTTCTATTAAAAATATATGTGCCGGCTCCGGATAACGAAACAAATGCTCTGACAGGGTCTCGGCGATACGGTGCTTGCCGACCTACTTCTGCGAGTGTGCCTCACCGCCGAGCGTATCCCCCGCGACGCTACGCGCGGCGCGGATGGGGGCTAAACTTGATGGCTGGGACTCACGAGTGGCAGCTACCGCATCTCCTGCAACTTCCTCCAATTACTGTACTCGTGAGTCCCAGGCACCTAGATACGCTCGGCGATGAGTTTAATCGCGTTTGGCGCATGCCGACAAGTCTGACTTCTACCGCTGCTAAATCCTCCAATCGGAAGAACACAGTATTGCTAATCGCTTTCATCGTCTGTAATGTCTCGAAATTGGTCAACGGTCGCTAATATCGTCTGCTAGTATCGTCGTCTGCAGAAACGCTCGAAAATTTTGTCAACGGTCGGTATTTATCGTCTGCTACTAGTACCGTGTGCAATGTTGATAGTGACTGTCACATAATCCTAGTGTTGCCGCGATTATTTTTTCCTTGGCAGACAGTCTGTATTTTAGATATACAGGAACACCGTCGTTCGGATATTTTTGGATATTTTATGGCTAACATGTGGCATGCCGCCATTTTCGGGAACAAGTCGAAGGAATGCCAAAAAATCAAATCGTTCTCCAATGGATCCCGGCTCACTGCGGCATACCAGAAAAATTAGCTAGTGGACAGACTTGCTAAAAAAAGGAACAGAGGAGAAACAACACACCCATTCATTGTCATTACTAGAAATCAAAAACATTCAAGGGAAAATACAAGGAACTGTGTAGAGAACAAACCAACAGTAAGCATTCACGACACCCTATCAGCAGACTCTACAGAAAGCAACATACAACAATTTTCCGTCTACGAACGGGACACTGCAGGCTCAACTACCACATGCATAAATAAAGTTTGTACAGTCCCCACAGTGTGCCTGTCAGACAGACCACAAACACTTTAGCACAGTCTGCAGACCTGCCAACTCTACCTACAACTTCGGGGAAAAAAAAAACCTGGCCTCAAGAGCAGTGTCCAGAGCAAGCTATGGGGAACCATGAAGGACCTGCAGCTGACATGTGAGTTCATTGAGACAATCCACTTGACAGCCTGACACGAGCATATGAAACCGAACGCAAAGAAGAAGAAATAACCAACGTAATTTTTCTGCAACTTACCATGGTCTCTTGCTGTGATCAGTTTTAAGCTTGTAGATTCGTCATCCGTAAACTTGAAGAAGGCCGAATAGGAGCCGATTTCATTTGTTTTATTCTGATTAAGAGTGAACAGTGTTAGCCCCATAGTAGAAGGGTGAGGCAAAGGTGGTGGTCTTGGTTTTGTCTGCCGCCAATATTTTGGGTTCAGTGCGTGCCTGAAGCGTCTCACCGTATCCAGTTTGGCATTTTTCTGTATCTTTTCGAGCATGCTGGAAGAAAAAGCATATTTTTAGTGGACTGTTTCGATACAACTGAAATCTGTCTCTGTTGACAGTGGTTAGCACAGATGAAGAACCGAAGCGGAAGATGTGATTTATTGTAGCTCTAGCACTGACACACTGTCGGTGCCACCAGAGTTATGAGTCAAGAACTGACATAACAGTACTAGAGACAATCCGATAGCGCCTCGCCCCCCACCTTCAACAGCAAGCGCAGAGTTCCAATTCCGTTGATACCAGTAGCAGTCTGACTGTATGCTGCCTCGCCCCTATCTCCGAGTGTTCAGCGTCGTACAGATCCCATGGTAGCTCCTTGCAGCAACATTCTCTTCAGACCATCATGATTTATTTGTAAATTTGCAATGTTTAATCGCTCCCCAAAGGCTTTTAACACATTTAGCTTGCCATGCATTAATTTACTATAAATGTATAGAACCAGCCACTCTATATGTATGTCTATTTCCCAACACACCGGCATACGTTGGAGAAAATATCCAAAGGACTCCAACAACCAGGAACCTGTCGTATCATATGCCAGACTATGTTGCCTAAGCGACATCCATTCGCTTCTGTTATAAACTTCCTGCACTTCGCCTGCCATACTGATAAGCGTGGGGAGCACGCCTCTCCAGGGTCTGTTGTGACACCAGTTGTTGGCTGATAAGCTGTTGTTATGGCAGCGTACAACTAGGCGACGACATATGGCTCATCAGGGCCTTTTCGGCATATTTTTGGGTATGATGTTTATAAAGTAAAAAAGGATTTTTTTTTTAAATGAGAGAAGATATCATGTCACAGTGTTAGGTGCTGGTGGCTCAATACAGGGTCAAGTTGTCGTTTTAACTGGTTACATAAGAGGTTTTGGGGTATTTGAAGGGCCATGTAATATGACGCTATGATTTTTTTTATATACAAGAATAGGAAAGTTAGAGTAAATAGGGTGGATGGTAGCTGTTGGATCAGTCAGCGGTCAAGATATTGTGCTGTCCTCCCCTTGCCTAATATTCTCAAGTATGCAAACATTTAAAGTCCACAATCTATACCCAAGAGTATCGCGTTGTCTGCAGAATTGCTGCACAGTCATCTTACACCATTCCTCAAGTCAAGAAAGGACCATGCTAGACTAAACAGCAACGGTCATTACTTTACAAAATAGATTTGGATAGACTGTGGAAAAGTTACTAGGTAAATAACAAGAGCAGTGATAAAAACACATTCATCACAAGGAGGTTAAGGAGTTACCGATCTAGAATTTCTTTAACCACGCCACGAGCCACGCCACAAGAAAGGCAAAACTGCACATGAAAAGGACAGGCTCAGGAAGTGGTCGGCAAATCACTGCTCTCAAAGACATTTTAATCGTCCTGCTGCTGATTTTTGGCTCTTTCGACTAAAGAGTTTGCTGACCACTGGGTTAAGGTGAATAGAGGCAGATGGAAACCAACAGAAAGCATGCAATAGTTTAGTATCATGGTATGTATGTTGGAGTTATAGTATGTGTGAGCATCCGTTTCCGAAAATGACAGTATGTCATACAAAAGGCTAGGGAGAAACATAATGACTTATGTCACACAGCATGAGCTACATAAATTAGTTGTAAAGTCATGAATAATAATATTATGTTGCAATAAACTAGTTTCTACTAAATAATAGCGCGGGATCGCCATTGATTTAAAATTAACGGCTTTGTATGTTAAACGCTCCTTGGTTAGCCCTTGTAGGAAAGCGTCATTAGTAACGTGAAATTTTTTTTTACCATTAATATTGTTGAAACATATGTCATATTATTTTTCATTTCAATGGTTTATAATCCTTAAAAAAATTTCTTTTTATTTACTCAGTTTTATTCACATTATATTTGTATTCTAACATGTCATGAATGCACCTGGGTGATACTAATCCACTTTGAGTATTTGTAAAACTATCCAACATTGTCATCATTTGTAACTTCAAAATACAATACCTCTGTGAGCTGATCCTGGTTGTGACGTCACTTGTGGACCCGTATTCATCCACTGTGCTGCTAGAGCCGGACTCGACGTCCTCATAATCTGAGGAATCTTGCAGATATCGTTGACGTTCCTTGAACTCCACAGTCGTCATCTTTTCTATCGGAGGTACAATAAGGTCTACCATAAACGCTTCTTCGTGTGACTCAGTGACATTGAAGCGGTCTCTAAATGCCAAGACAAGTCTGCTTGTCAGTGTAATGCCAATGTTGGGCAGCGTTGATGAGTCGTCACTAGAGCAGAGCATAAGTGACATGTCTTTTTGAGGCGAGTAAATAAGTTGTGAAGTCTGCGTGAACGATGGTGACAAGATTTTAGCAACTATACATGTTTCCCTGAAACTCTTGAGTATTTGCAAGTTTGTTGGAAGGTTGTGGACAGCATCATTACTGACATCTTCAGAGACATACGTGACACTTTGACTTGGTATAGGGACGACGCCATTAAGTAGATCGTGCATGGATATTAACCTGCTAGAGTTTTCATCTGTCTTCAACAGCATAGTTACTTCAAAATCCAACGGCAGTTTCAACCTTGTGCTACCACCAGCCTCGGGGTCGATCCGGTCACATTTTAGAACCTGGCAGTCTCCGCCAGCCAGTTTTGTTTTGATTATGCAAGGGATGTTTGACGTCACCCTGATAACATCACCAAATCTTAACGACAACGGTTTGGGAAAATCTGCTGCAATATCTTCTAGTATTATGACTTCTGACCCAACAGGTAAATGCACTAATTCTGACACGGTTTTAAACTGTTGTGGATATTCCACGAAAGAAAGTTTCACATCTTTGGACAGCGCAAAAACTGTATCACTCTTTGTGTCTTTTACGTAAAGTCTTTTCACCACATCCAGCTTGCATATGATGATTTCATCAACACCATTTAACACTTGCTGAAGGTAGGGATGGACCGCAGCAGTGCTTACTACGTTTGCTATCACGGGAAAATAAGAGCAATACAGGTCGACAAAGTTGTCGATTTCGATAGGAATATGAGGTGCAACTAACGACGGAGCATTGGGAGCCATAAATACAGGCAGCTCGTCATCAAGAAGTGTATCAGCTTTACATAAATTTTGTTTCTGAAGTTTTGTGACAGGAATCTCATAGTCGTTGGGCGAATAAGTTCTTACTTGAAAGTTAGCAATGGCAGGAATCTGCCATGCAGTTTCCAGGTCATTATAAGGGGATACAACAACAGTTAACTCGGGCTTGTTCATGTAAACAATCCCGTCAGATGGGAAAGGCAGATGTTGATCACCGACTGGGCATTCTAATTTTATCGTAATTTCATTCTCATTGTGTATCTGTGTAATATTTTCCTTTCTAGAAATGTCAGATGTTTGGTAAACGTTGTATATTGTTTTTGTATCACTTATAACATCCGACTTAACTATTAACAACCTACGCTGAACTGGGGCTATGCCTATAAGTTCTCTGATGGAATACTCATTATCATCTTTCAATGGACGAAAATAACCCATGCAGTCTTGTGACAAGATAGCAGTGTTGTCTTTGGAGTCCCTAACCTGTAACCTTTCTTGTCCATTTTTGAAATCTCTAATAATTCGGACAAACCAAAACCGGTCTCCCGAGCTGACAGACATTCCTGGCAAATATGGATCATCATAAGAGGTTGTAGCTTCAAAGTGAGTAGGACAGTCCATCAGGAGATCTGCTATGGTAGGGTACACGATTGTATTCCCACTGCTGTCAACGTGGGCCGGTGGCAGTACTTTGAATTTCAGACCAGAATCAAAAGTCATATTCACTTTTACAGACGAATCTGCATTATTCGGAACACATAAGGTTACCTGCTTGGTAATGCAGGACTTCAGAATGAGGACATCACCACGGGATATCTGCACTCTGTCGCTCACAAAACTACCATGTGTAACACAAACACACTGAGGAAATGCACACGCGCTAATGAAATCGCTGAAATCCATTGATGGTACACGTGTTACATCGTTTAACTGTTGATTGTTACTATACATGATCACATAGTTAACATCCCATGTTGTAAACAGTGTACTGTGGCAAAAACCTGCCTGCTGGTAATGCTTTCGATCAATAGTATCGATCTATATTTCTAAAGCAGCATACCTGAGCTGGCCTAATTTTTGTAGTTTTCCATGCTGTCATGCATTGTTGTATTAGTAAGAAACACAAACACTCAACAATGTTTCATCCGATAACAATACGCTGTTTATAAATGAATAACTACACGTTCATTTGACACGTTTGTTATAGCAATGATCCTTGATAATATGACAGAAAAGAGGCAGAATTCTGACTCTCTGTTCGTGTGCGACACGACACAACAAACATGCATGGGTGCATAGAGATATTGATGTGGGAATCCCCGAGATGGAATATTTAGATGATGACAAACGTGTATCCAGTAGTGAATATCTACGCTCCTTTCACCCGCCCCTTCAGTGTGGGATATTGATTACAGCCAGTTGCTCACCGTCCATTAAGATATTAAAGAGACAATCCTAAATCTAACAACTCAGCTCAAGAATAAAGGATGCCAAGTCACCATTGCATGGGTACCAGCACACAGAGGTGTAATTGGCAATGAAAAAGCTGACATAGCAGCCAAAAAGGGAGCAAAATGTGATGTTTTAATAGATGTAGGACTTGGAAAAACAGAAAGGACCAGCATAATAAAACGACATATAATTAAAATGTGGAAACTGCAATGGCAAAGGAGCAATAATGGCAGAGATGCCTACAATAACCTTAAGAGCCCAGCCTTAACACACAGGTACGGGACAAACTGAAAATTCCAGCCAACAAACTTCTATGGAGAGCTAGATTAGGATGGCACCCAGAGAAATTTACATCTCCACTATGTCTGGACTGCTTTCAAGATAATACTCTAGAGCATTATATAATAAACTGCACTAAGTATAAATTGGAAAGGAAACCCATGAGGAATTTTTTTTCTAAAACGCAAACACAACAAATTACTGTAAACAAATGTTTTAAATGTAGAAAGCAATAAAGACATCCAAAAAACTGGTTAAACAATACCTTATTAAAACAAAACAAAACTAAAAAGACCAGATTAGGGATTTACTCAGTATAACAGAAGGAACTGATGAGATGGTAACCCCGAACATCCTAGAGTCAGAGAGATAGTGTAGGTATGATGAGTGCATAGATGTGAACATGGACACATACACAAGGATGAGTGCGTGTAGTATGAGTGCATTTGTGTATAGGATGGATACATAAGACACAGTGTATGTAGGTGGATGGTACGGAATCATATGTGGACGGAACAGTGGGAATATAGTTGTGCGAAAGGTACAGATGAATGAGTACATGGATTTAAATGTATTACTGTATGCATGTATATGTGTGTAAGAGTGTGCATGTGTGTATATATATGAGAGCGTGTATACTAATATATTTGTGAGTGTATGAATGACAGTGCAATCAAAGAAACCATAAACTGTGTTGCTGTATGTCTGTTCATTGATGAGAACAAATGGAATGAAGGGGTAAGCAGCAAGAACGTCATCGCACACCATCCACCAAAACATGACACGTCGGTACCGGACAGGTCACATACCAGTAGCGGGACATAGCATAAAAGTGACACGACCAGACGAAATTACAGACAAAGCGACACAACACGCATAAGACATGGAAGAGTGAGTATCACTGCGTGTGGATGTACTCGTTTTTTTTTTTTTTTTAATGAATGTAAGCACAGGCATTGATAAACGCATATGAAAGAGTTTGCGTGTGTACGTAATGTCAATTAGGTATGCATATACGGATAAGTATGAAAGGACGTACAAATATGTAGTGTTGTCTGCATGTATGAGTACTCGAGTGCATGTACGCATACACCTAGTTGGGTGCGTCCATATACTCCGGGGATTCATAAACAAAACCATCCCACTCCACAACATGCATACAACATGCACATGACCGACAGGACTCATAACAAAAATATGACTGACAGCAAATAGGGAATACAAGTGACTCGATAATGACAGGACTAGAACGCATAGCCTCCAATACCACCCCATCACTGGGATGATAGCAAAGGTTGGTAACGTGATACACATAGTCCCGGCAAAAAGCCACGCTAGAATCCAGCAAGACGGCAACGACGAGAATTGACTGAATGGCCTCCCGCTCCCCTTCCCCCCACCTTTCCCTAAATCTGTCGGATGCACTATGAGTTTAACCCCCCCAACCCATTCCCACAGAGAGCACTTGAGTTCGTTGCCCAACATGCCACAACAATTCTCATCGCCGATCATTTGGATCTCAAAGCGTGAGCTGGACGGTCCGGTTATATGGTATTTACGTACACCGGAGCTTAGCTATCAACACAACCCGATCACATAATAACAAATGACGACTGGACTCGCTTAAGACTCCACACAAACTCCCACACACATATCCAATACATGACTAACCCGTTCATATTACAGGAAGACAAACTATAAGACCACTATGGTCATACGCGGAAAATTTTCACATTTCGGAACTATTCACATTCAAAAACTGTTTTCAGTACTTTTTGGAAAATTAAAATACTCAAAATTTTAAAACAATAAATGGTGGCCGAAAGGTCGTTGTGTTTGGAAGCTCGCTCTCCTTCGAGATACGCCTAGCCAGATCAAAGGGAGACAGAACAAACAGGAAACACCACGAATGAAGAAGGAAGACTTGCACCAGTGACAACAGGACGAGCGGTTTGATACGGAAGGAAGCATTAAGCCAGAAATGGCACAAACACCAGTATTCAGTCACGAAAGTGACGCAAATAACCCAGACCACAAATATAGGCGGAGACTGTTAGCAGCCTAGGCTAGCTAGCAGCAGTCTGAACGTGGTCGAGCTTTTCTTTTTTTTTCTTAAAAGGACTTGGACTTGGACCGTCCATTCACATACACGCAGCTTTATTGAGCCGGGACCAAGTAGTTGAGAGTTCAGAGGTTTGTGTTTTCTCTACTGATTTCTGTTATGTTGATGACAGGGCGTCCTTAGCAATAGGTAACAACTAATTACACAAATAGCAAGAATTGTTAATAGTTTTAACAAGAAAAGAAAAAGGGGTGGTATTTTTAATATCTAACCTCGGCTTACAGGTGGACCGAAACTAAATAAGGTACCAGGTAATTTCCTCAGCAGTAAAGATGACCGGGTATCGTTGATCAAATATGTTAATCATATGAATCTACATTGTGTTTTATAAAGGCGTGGCTTCACCCTTTGACAAATAATTCATGTACGGATTAACACGAATTGTTGCTTGTGGCCTTAGATTTCCCATGTCCTTATGATTTTATACTTTACAACTGCACAACTGCTGCTTTCTTAAAGAGGCAAATTTTTAAAATCTTTGTTGGACTAATAATTTGTGTATCCCTAACAGAATATACACTGACTGATACAAACCACAACATAAAAAACAACAGTTTCATCAACGAAAATTTACAGCCAAGCATAACACTTGCAATAAATCAGAAAAGCTATAAAAGAGGCACCTCCCAACAAAGCACCAGGCCCCAGCCACAAAATACCTGCTGAACTACTCAAAGAAACTGAAGAGGTATGCGTGAAATAGATGCACAGACTGTTTTAACCTAAAAATGGACAACATAAGAGTCACCAGAGGACGGAAGAAACGCAATAATTGCACTCATCTGGAATAAGAAAGGCAGCACGAGAGACAGTGAGAAGAAAAGAGGAATTTCGTTATTAGGCCACGCCCGGAAATTATTGTGAAAGATCCTTGTAAGAAAACTGCCCCCTGTTATCTAACCACAACTTAGTGAATCGCATGCGCACAACCGGGGTGTCTCTTGTACATCTCAGGATCACCCGCATAACTTCCTTCTGTATGCGCACCAGTTTCACTAGCTGACTCTTCGAGACAGTGAGCAACCCTCGTATAACCAATCCCTGGGGTGATTTGGTGCTGGTATAGTGTAAACAACATTCTCTGCTCCGTGTCCATCGCTGTCAAAATCTTTAGTTCATTAAGACCTTTTTTGGCCCTTGTCAAAACCTCCTCTGCGTGATCCCTGAAAGACAAGCTTTTGTCAAAAGTGATTCCCAGGTACTACAGTCTGCTGTCTCTATCGATGCGCCTGCCATTTATTTTGAGGCTTGTGACATTAACTTTAATAATTGAGTGTCCAAACAACATCACAGATCGGTTGCCTTTTCTGGGCTGATTACTGCACCTAGCTCGGTACACCAATAGATCACATTATCTACTGTCACTTGTCACTATTGAGCTATTTGATTCCGATCTCTCCCCTGCTTATATGAGAGAACATCATTTGCGAATGTCAATATTCTGCCAACTCCACGGTTTCCAGGTCGGCAATCTTGATCGTAAACAAAACGAATAATAAAAAGCACAAGTGAAACTGCAGATCTCTGTGGTAGTCTTGGGGCTAAAAATACATGGTTCGGAGGTACATGAACCCAGGCTAAGAGCAACCGGACGAGAATACAAAACATCTGCTATCCAGTGTACCAACCGAGAACAAACTGTTTTCCCCATAAGCGCTGCCGTCAAGATACTATTTTTGACTCTGATGTAAGCATCTTCTAAATCAAGTGCCGCTAACACTGTTTCCTGTTTCTTCTCGAAACCCTCGAAGGCGTCAAAGGCAAAAGTGGCTGCATTTGACAATGTATTCTTCCCTGACCGGTAACGTCCCAAACTTCATGGATGTTGTAAGGACCCTTTGAAAGCGAGTGAGCAGTGCCGAAGAACAGGTAGATATTACGGTCTGAGGAGAATAGCACTGCGAGAAGTTACAAGGGGATCTGGCCAACGCTCGACACTCAGGGGAAAGGCGAGACAGATATTCAATCAGATAGTTAATGGTACCATCGAAATTGTAACTGAAGATGGGGACGGAGCGCTTGTGGTGGTGTCCTAAGTGCTGTGATGATGTCGATTCTTAATTAAACATTCTTGACGGAGCTTTCTCTGTTTGGGAAA